AAACCCCAAAACCCCAAAACCCCATGCATTAAATTCACTAGGATGGTGATGAGTAGATTTAGAAAATAAACCAAGCTTTGAATTTAAATCAATAATTATAATCTTAGCGGGTACACCTTAAAAATGAATAATCTCAATGTAACTACTCATAGATTACCTTATTTCGGCTCTTGAATTAATACCTTATTTTAGAAGCCGATTGATAAGATTAACATTGGGTACAATAAGTCAAAGGAAGAATACATAGAGTTGATGAATGAAAAGAACAAGATAAAGAGAGAAATGGAGAAATCTAGGGAGCATTAGGAACGCAAAAAGATTCAAGAAAAGGAAGCAGGCTTCAATATACATATTAATGGGGCTAATGAAGAAAGAATTAGAGAGCAGAGGAGATAAGAGTTGCTTAAAAATTAAAACAGAGGAAATTCCCAAAGCAATTATGACTATGATATCGCATAAGGAGTTGGAACAGGAGCTAATCAGAATTCTATTTAAAATCAAAAAGTTAGAAGGTAGGACAAGAATTTGATTAAAATAATCTAAAATTTTAGAATGTGGAAAAATCCTAATTCAGAGGAAGGAAGAGTAGATGCATCTTAGGAGCAACAATAGAAATACACCAATCCTGTAGATTTTAATTTGGCTCATTTATGTGTAGTTTGATTTAGGCAATGCTGATAAAAAATTTCCAATGCCGATAACAGGAGAAAAGAGTCCACCAAGAATAAGAAAGAAGTGGGGAGACAAAAATCAAATCGGTGGAAACGCAGGAAAACCCACTAAAGCAATACACAATCTAAATAATAATGATGAAGAAGATTATTCTGATTCATTCGAAGAAATATAGCAGGACTTTGAAGACGAGGTAGAGGAGGAAGAGAGAAAGAGAGATGATGAAGAGTCTGGAATACAAGATGATTATGACAATAATGATTATGGTAATAATGGGGAGAAAGCTGGTGGATCCAATGATATTGAATAATTTCTAAAAACTGCTACTATGAACGACATCAATGCGCTAAGATAGTCATTAAGCAACTTTGGAGAAATGGCAAAGCAGCTTGTTACTAAAAAAGATTTTAAAAAAGAAGAAGATGACTATATTGAAGAAGATTTTGAGGAGCATATAGAATCTGATGATGGTTAAGACTCAGAGGAAGAAAGGAAAGAACAGGAGAAATTAAGGCTAGAGTAGCTTAGATAGCAGCAGCTGAAAACTTAGTAAACAACTAGAGGAGCGAAAAATAGACCAATTTCAGCTACTTATAATCTTGCTGCTTAAAAAATTTAAACTTAGAGAACTAATAATAACATTGAGTCTGCAGGAATTAATATGATGTCATCTTAGATTTAACCTTAAGCGTAACTAAAGCCAATAAATCAGCCTATTTCTTAAAATTATGGATCTGGTATTGGAGGAGGTGGAACTGGTTCTATTCTTGTTCAAGAGACACCTAAGCAACCCAATGATAGCATGAAAAAACCCTTAAATACAAATCCATTCAAAAGGCCATTCTCTTAAAATATTCCAAAGAGAGAACAGACATCTAATTAAAATACTTAACAGCAATTATCTGCTATAAAGATGACTGAAGGTGTTGAGAAAAATCAAAGTAAGACCTAGGAAGCAGCATTTTCTAAAAATTAAATTCCTATTGCTTCAATTCTCTAAAAGATAGAGCAACTGGATGATTGGCAAAAGGAAAAATTAATGGAGATTCTAGATAATCTTGATAGTTTGACTTCGAGTTCGGTATCCACCAATAATTATTAATCTCAAGCTAAAGATCAGACTAAAATATAAAATCCAGTAGTTTAGAATATAGACCTTAAATTCTTGAGCCCTGGCAAATCTTAAAATACTCAATAGTCCTAAATATTCTCAAATCCTAATAAAAATGAAATTACAATCAGAATTATCAAGACATTCGGAAATCCTCATCTTTGTGGACTGACTGAAATAGAATTATTTGATTTGGACGGAAAAAAAATAACTTTAGCTCCAGCTCAGATTGTTCCTATAAATCTAGGTAACGGTCCAAAGATCAGTCTCGCCAGATTGGTAGATGGATTCAAACTTACTAATGATGAAAAACATATGTGGATTGGTTATTTGCCAATGCATCCAAAACAGCTTGAACTGATCATTTAAGTTGATAAATCACAGAAAATTGGAGGATTAAAGATTTGGAATTATAATAAATCAGCTCTTGATTGCACTAAGGGTATTAGAGAAATTGCTATTTCCGTCAATAACGATTAGGTTTGGTAGGGATAGTTAGAAAGCGGAAAGGGTCAAACAACAACAGAATATGCAACTTTTATTACTTTAAAAGATGGCTTATAACTTCCTAGAGAGATTCAGCCTAAAGATATTATTTAACAGCCTATTGAAGAAGAGTATGAAGAAGAGGAGAGTAAAGATATGATAGGACATCAGGAAGTTAAGTAAGAATAAGATGATTTCAAGAAATATAGATCAGAAGTCGAATTCAAATAACCTAATTAGGAAAAATCGAGCGCCGGAGGCCCTATTTGGCTATCAGGAAGTCAATAGTCTTAACGAAACGTCGGACTTAATTAGTAATCAAAGCAATAGGTTTAAAGTTAGATGGGAAGTAGGCAGAAGGATGATCAAGCATCCAAAACATTCGATTTACTAGATAAATACCAGTTTAACAATCAATAAACATCAGATACTGCATCTACCTCGTTAGGAAGTAAATCATAAAGTGCTGTTGGATAAACAAGACTACATCCTATGAGAGACAATAGCTAGAAATCTGGTTCACAGCAAAATAACATGATCAAGCCTAATGCTGCCCCTTCATCAATATCTTCCACCCAATCAAAAAGTAAGGCTTAGTTTGAATTAGGAGTGGGATCGATACCCCCAGCAAGCAATAAGCAATGGACCTAGTAAATTTAAGCTTAAAAGCAGAATATTATTTGGCCAAGTCAAGGTTAAAACTTTCAAGAAACTTCTGATGCCATCTAAAAAGCAGTAAACAAGGTCAACTAGGTAGTAAATAATCAATAACTATTGAATAAAAACAAACCAAACAGTTAAGTAGTTGAAGAATCACTAGATAATTTAGATTTCTTTAAGGCTACAAACAGAGGAAGATTAATGAACTTCAATGATGAGGATGATAAAACTAAGAAAGATCAGTAAAAACGAAAATAGTGGTAAGCCTCTCCTGCAAAAGCATCAAATAGCAATACTCGCTTACAGGAATCTTAACTATCTTCAAGCAAGTCAGGTCATAAAGGAGCACATGTGATAGTTAAGAATCCATTTCCTGAAAAAGAAGCTGCCCTTAAGAATAGCACCAGGAAAACATAAAGAGATGAAGGAGATTTCCTTGACTAGTTTCTGAATAAGAATACAGGAAATAATAGTTCCAAGCCATTGGTCTTCTAAGAACAACAGCCCAGTTAGTAATATTTAGGATTCCAAGCAGTATAGGACAGTTAAAAGCAAGCATCAATATCACCGTAAAGAGAGACTTAGAAGCCAAAAATTAAAACTTATGAAGACAAAGTGAGTGAATTTACTCAGCCATTTATGATTCCTAATTTGCCATCTGGATAGAGATTGCACTTCAATATATTATCCACTTGGGGAGATATGAATTATGTGGGACTAGCTGGAATTGAGGTATTCGACATCGAAGGCTAGGCTTTAGAAATCAATCCAGATTAAATCTCTGCTTGCCCTCCTGATATTAATATCTTGCCCGGATATGGTGGAGATCCAAGAACTGTTGATAAACTGATTGATGGCCATTATATCACGAATGATGATTTGCATGTGTGGCTAACTCCTTTCACTGCAGGTGAAGACCATACTGTCACAATTGATCTTCCATAGAAGAAGCAAATTTCGATGATAAGAATATGGAATTATAATAAGAACAGAATTCACTCATATCGTGGTGCAAGACTCATAGAATGCGAGCTTGATGGAAAGTTAATATTTAGAGGTGAAATTTAAAAGGCGCCAGGCAATCTAAACGACCCTGAAAACTGCTGTGAAATCATTCTCTTTACAGACAATGATACCATTCTATAAAGGATAGACATCAATGACTGGATAAATGACAAGGTAGTGCAGAGTGACATGGAAAACACTTAGAGAATACTGTAAGAGTTGCCATCCTATCAGGATGAAAGGCCATTAACTGCCACCAAAAAGTTTAGCAACACTGAAATGCAGGAGATTTAAAGGTAACTCAAATAGCAGAAGCCAACTTCATTGTTTGATGAGAGGCCATAGACATCAGCTATAATCACTGGAGATTAAGAAGAGGCTAAGCCTTAATCGTCTTCTCTTAAAAACAGATTCGAGTAAAGACATTAAGAACTTTCAAAATAAGTATAACAGCTTGCTATGGGTGGTTAATAAACAGTAAAGGGAAGAGTTCTAGAAATAAACATAATTGAATCTTGGGGAGATCTATTCTATGTAGGTCTTACTGGGCTAGAAGTATGGGACGATCGAGGTAATCCATTTAACATTACTTACTAAATGATTGATGCTACTCCGAGAGATATGAACTCTATTCCAGGACATGGATCAGACTACAGGACCCTTGACAAGCTCATCAACAAGCAGAACAACACAATGGATGATCATAATATGTGGCTGATTCCCTTTAACAAAGGAGAGAACCATGTCGTTAAAATTGACTTTGGTAAGTCTGTGCTAATATCTGCAATCAAGTTCTTCAACTATAACAAATCAGAGGAAGATACGCTTAGAGGAGCTTAGCAAGTTGTCATCTAACTAGACAAGAAATATCTTACACCAAAGAAGGGCATTACTTTGAGAAAAGGATCAGGACTGGTGCATCCTATGTTTGATATGGGCTAAGTTATAAAGTTCCCTTATAAAAACGGATGGACCACTGACTAAATTGTTCCATTGCAGAGACAGCTCGGATAACTTGGACTGTTTTAAGAGTACGAACTCACTAATTTACCTATTGGATTCATGTACAGAATTAATCTCTTTACTACTCATGGTGATTTCTACTATATTGGACTAAATGGCATTGAATTTTACGATTAATTAGGTAACTTGATTCAGATAAAAAATATCATTGCTGATCCTTAGGGTGTTAATAAAATACCAGGAATGGAAGGGGATATCAGGGTTATTTAGAATCTGATCAACGGCAATAATTCTACTTATGATGAATACAACATGTGGCTTGCACCATTTAAAAACACAAGATCTTATTCAGCAGTTACTAATGCAAAGAAAGATCAAAATGAAGATGATTCCTAGGAATACAGGATACCAAATTATGTCTATGTAGTATTCGAGCAACCCACTTGTGTCGGTGCAATAAAATTATGGAACTATTCTAAGACACCTAGCAGAGGAGTTAATGAATTCGAGATAGTCTTGGATGACAAGTAGATTTATCGTGGCTTTGCAAAGATGGCTCCTGAGAAATCTCAAGCTGGCTTCAATAAAGACTTCTCAACAGTAGTCCTGTTTACAACTGAAAGTAAGATTGTTGATAAATTCCAGAGTAATGTAAACTGCGATCCTAGCAAACAGCAAAACGTTACTCTCATTAATGAGAAAAAGCAAATGAATAAGAACTAGGTAGTAAAGAGACCTAATGAGGAATTTGTTTTCAGTGATATGCAGAGACCTACTACAATGGCAAGAAGGAATTGAGTTTGATTTCTCTGCTTAATGTTTAATTTCATAAATTAGATAATTAAAATTCATAGAAATATTATAATCAATAGTAGTATCCTATTTATATTCTTTGAATTATTCATTCTTTTGGATCCATTGAAAATTAAGTCCTATGTAAATAATAATTAAGAGTATGATTAAGTTTACCTAAGAATTTTCTTCTTTTTCTTTTTCTTTTTGGATGCTCCTGCTTTTTTAGGGAAAGGATTTACCATTAATCCATCATAAGGCTTAGGGTAAACTCTATCACTAGAATCAAACACTTAATCCTCAGGCATCAGAATAGCTCTTTGAAGTACTTTGAAGTCCATATTAATTCCTTTTTTGACAAGTAAGCCTTTGAGGTTCTGTATCTCATTTAGTTATGAATATCTATAATCATCTTAAGCAGTTCTTCTAACCATACTCATTCCACTCGCTTTAAACTCAAACATACCGTTTTTTTAGCCCATTTGACTTTCCTAATCTGGCGATCTAAGCTAATTCAAAACATCATCATGCAGCAAGCCTGGAGGCATTACACCTTATGTCTGATTCATTACTTACTATGCAATAGACTAAGGACCAGATTTATCCATAGCGGAGTATTCTTAGTTCTCGGTATTTTCATCGAGAGGAGCAAACATAACTTCAAATTCTCTCATTAGGGCTGCTGATATCATCTTTCCATAGAAGTTTTTGAGATTTCCAATCTTCTTTTTTCCCAATTCAACCATTGCTGCGTTTTATTTTGGATTGTTGATAATCATTCTTTGCCTTTTCACCATAGGTGCTGGAGCAGTCTAGGAGAAGAAATTGCCTGCTTTACGCGGGCTTTAAGTAGACGCTTTATTTTAAAGTGGAGGAGTCATTATTTGTTCTGTGTCTTTCTCAAAGAAATCAGAGGTTAAGTCCACAATTTTGGGAGGAGCATTCATTTTAAAAGACAGAGGTGCCTCTATGAGGTATTTCTTTCTTAAGTCTTCTGGTTTCTTGTAGATTTTATCCGTGTTATTGCTACTGGAGCTGACACTGTTGTTTTCAACTGAATCAGTATCGCTTGCACCGATATAGGAAGAGTGGTTACTGAGAAGAGGCTAGGAATCTTATCTATTTCTGAAGTTTGGCAAAATCAGATCATCATCAGTTTCATTATAGGTCTATCGCTTTGTCTTAATATGAGCTACGGAGGTGTCTCTTTTAGGCATTTTAGGTAGCATTCTATATGCATGATTCATTTAGTTATGTATTTCCATATTTGTAAATGTTTTCTATGATGTAAGCCCTATGATAGGAGTTAGAGGTACTTAATCAGTTTGCATTTTATTTGATGGCTTCTTCTATTTTAAGTTAACATCAATTTTGACTTTATCAATATCCACTTCTCTAGAGAGATCTCCAATTACTTTTATTTGTTACTAATTTTTAGCATTGTTTGGAGTAGATTTAATTCCCAGCTTCTCTAATTCATTATCTTTCTAGGGATTAGTAGTTAAATTCAACATTATCGATGTATTTTCAAATTTAGAGAGCTTTGTGAAGCTGAAATTTAGCTTTGAATTTATAGTTTAAAGATCAGGAACGCCGACATTACTTTGCTGATCAGAGCTTGACATTCTTGATCTGTCTTTCTTATGAGTCATTCCAGAATTACTCATCTTATCCAGATCTAGTAGCTCTGTACTCTTCCTTCTAGTCCTCTTGAAAAATGTTGGATACTCCAAAAGTTTAAGGCCTTCAAGGTACTTTGTGAAATTTTGAAACCAGTTAAATATATTAGCCACTTCTTGCTTCATTGGTACTAGGTCAGAAGTCTGAAAATATTAAAGTACTTTAATCAGTTTTGTTAGCCAGTGAAAGTACTGCGACTCTATCCAATCTATTTTATCTTTTAATAGATACTGTTCTTTGTGCATTGCTCTTTAATAGTAATTTATAGTGCTCTTCATTAATCTGTTATAAAGAAAATCATTTTGCAAAAAGGGGTTTTTGGATAGCTTTTCCAGTTTCCCCATTACAACTAGATTTTTCTTCATTTAATCAATGAGTTTTTCCTTGTAATCACCATATAGCATGCCTGTAGTCTTCGATATTTGGATATCTTTTATGTCGGCATTGGCTGAGTCTATAATTATCTTAATTTACCTCTGTATTTCTGAGGCACTGTAGATTTTGGTTGGCTCTATAAATGAGGATCATTGAACTTATTGTCACTACAATTGTATTTTGCTAGTATTGGTGCTCTTAATTGGAGAATGAGGTGTTGATTGAGATTTCAAATTAATTGAAGATGGCTTCATTATAAAGCCACTTTTTTAAAGATTAAGAGGCTCAAGCTTGAAATTCTTTTTTTAATTGACATTGGAAGGGGTACCTTCAGTAGATGGTACATTTGACTGCGATCTTTGTTTAGACTAGCTGGTATCATATTTAAGGTTTTTGGGTTATTCAATTTCTGATTTGAATTTAGCTGTTTTCCTTTGTTCACTTTTCATCAATTTAAATGCATCCTGAGATGAAGACTGCTGTTATTGCAGCTGTTATGATCCTTAAGGAGGTTTGTATAAATTAGAGACTTATATTTAAAAGCTCTGCCTTTACTAGTTCAGACCATTGTTTATAAATTGGTTAAGCAGCATCTTCGATGTGGGATCTTTGTCAGGCGATTAGACGTCTTTCATCTATCGAATAGTGTGGTTTCTGAGTAGAGCTAGGTTGTTGAGTTAGGCTTGTTACATTAATTGTTTCTTGACTCTACACAGTTATAATAAATAAATAAATTAAGACTTTAATTATCATTACACTCAATTATATCAATAGTTCTAGAATTCATTCATATTAAATTTTAACCATTAATACTCAAATTTAAATATCAATAAATCATCAATTCTGCTACTCAGATCGTTCTTTCTTTACTGCTGATACTTTTTTGCTAAAACTTTCATATTCAACAAATAGCCATTAATGCCCACCCAACCATTGAGGCACCACCTCCGTATGGAACAAGTTTATTGAATCTGTAGTCTTTGTACATCTTTGAATAGAAGATAGTACCTGAAAACATAACAGTACCTGCAAAGATAGCGATCAGAGGCAAAGAAATCAATTTAGTCTTTCTTGTGGAGCATAAGCATAACCCCAAACCATTAATCATTTAAACCTACTAAGCAGAATTCATTGCCTTCATCTCTGTGTCTGTAAATTTCTGAGCATGAGTTAAGTATGCTGATTCGGCAATGCTTGTTGAAACAGTAAGAGAACCTAAAACCCAGCTTGCTTTTCTAAAGATTTTGCTCATTTTAAAACTAATTATTTATCAAAATCTTCTATTTTATTGACAAATGGGGTTTTGGGGTTTTGGGGTTTTGGGGTTTTGGGG